TATAAAGATGTCTGTCAATATCTGCCAGGGTTTCTTTATTTACATCAAGAGACAAAGCAGCATGAGTTAGACGAGATAAACCCTCTGCTTTCGTGAGTAAAACTCTCCCTTTAATAGATAAATCCCGCTGCAGCCAAGCATTTAGCTTTTGTTGTGTTTTGTCCAAAATTGGAGTGAAATTAAGGGAGCACCTGGTGGATTGATTTTTATTAATGACTATACCAAGGTAAGTGACAGACTCTTTCACTGGGATGCCAGCAATAGATAGACTGGTACAATTTCTAAGGGCAAGCAGTTCACATTTGCCAATGTTTAGGTGGAGTCCTGAAGCTAAAGAAAAGGCATTAATTGTGTTAATAGCCATCTGCACCTGTGAAGCATTTTTTTAAAAGAGAGTGGTATCATCAGCAAGTTGACTAATGAATATTTCTTCATCCGCAATTGTTATACCTTTCAGAGGACTGCCTTTAATATAATCAGAGAGGAGTTGAGCACAGATGAGAAATAAGTATGGGGAGATGGGGCAGCCTTGCCTGATACCGCGGTTCAAGTTAAACCTAGGTGATGTACCTGCTTGTAGTTTGATGGAGCAATTTAAATTTTTGTACATTGTTTTAATTGCATTCTGAAAATAAGGACCAAAGCCAAATTTGTCCAAAGCCTGAAAAATGAAACCATGTTCAATCGTATCAAACACTTTGCAGAAATCTACAAATAAGATAAAGCTATCATCCCTACACAAATCTGCATAATCAATTAGGTCAAAAACAAGTCTAATGTTGTTGGATATGTGTCTGTTAGCCATAAAGCCAGACTGAGTTTCATCAATAATATCATTCAAAACAGTTTTCAGTCTTTTGGCAAAGATCTGAGCTAGGATCTTATAATCATTATTAAGGAGGCAAATTGGCCTCCAATTGTCAATATAAGTGGGATCTTTCTTTGGCTTTGGGATTAGAGTTAACAGACCTTGTGGTAAAGTGGGGGGAAGAGACTGATTACGTGACAAATAAAATTTGAATTTTGATTTATAAGACTTTCAATGTATATATTAAGAAGAAATGGAGCCAGTTGATCTGCAAAAGTAATGTAAAATTCAGAGGTTAAGCCATCGGTTCCTGGGGATTTATTAAGTTTAAGACGTCGAATAGCAGGTAGCACTTCACTAATAGATATCGGCCTATCACAGAAACTCATCTGATCTTCTTTAACTGTTCGCACATCAGGGATTTGTTCCATAAAGTTCAGAGCAGCACTCTCATCAAACTCTGACTTGTATAAATTTTTATAAAAATTGGAGCAATAGGTGGAGACTTTTCGGGGTTCATCAGTTATAATACCGTCAATATTAAGTCTCCAAACACAACCAAGTTTAGAACGAGATTTCTCTAATTTAAAAAAATAGTGGAGTTTGCATTATATTGGCTATAACATTATCCCTATTTAAGCAATCAGAGAGTGACGCGACGAATATGGCGTTATTTTTGTGCCACTACTCTGAGCGCACGTAAAAAAAAATTGAGCGCACATAAAAAAAAGCTTGCAGGTGCAAGTGTTGCATTTTGAGGAGAAATTTAAATTTAAAAGCTGAATTTGAGTGAACAAAATTCATTGCTGCGAGCAAAAACTGTATTTCAGTGTTTGCTATTATCCACACACACACACAATAGCACCCCCTCTCACTCAGTTTTTGCATTTGTGCTCGCTCGCAATGTGTTCGCAACATTTCTGCCTGTGGGCGCTCAACTCTTTCTGTTAGTGATGCGCGAATCATGAACGAATCGTTCAATACTCGAGAATCACTTTAATGACTCATGAATCATGATTCACAAGCCCAACTGACTCACTGACTCATCCCTGTTGCTGTTAGCAGCTATATATCTAGCTTATAATTAAAATTGTGGAGAAAAACACAACATCCAGTATCTTAACAAAAAAATTTCTGCTCAAACTCAATTCAGTAAAAACAATCAAATTTACCATCACTACTTTCTGTACACCGTTATATTTGTGCCACAAAACCAGCCAATCACAGACTTGGATGCAAAAAAATCTGATTGGCTGTTCTGGTCTCCAATGAGCTCGAAATGACGAAATGCAATATCCCAGAATCCATTTCGTCCAAAACTCAAACGAGGCAGTGGCGGAGGAACACAGAGTGGCAGAGTTTGAAATATTACTCTTTCTGGGTCACAAAATAAACTTTTAAGAGATTTTCATGTGAGAATGTTTCTGTGTAAACTTCAAATATCTGCTTGATTCATCAAGACGTCAGATATTTGCAAAAGTGCTCTAATGTTTTTGGAGATGCCTGTTACCCACCAGCTGACCGGTTGGGAACTCGGGTTAAACGCTGATGAAAATGCAGAAAACACAGATCATGAACACTTGTTCAACCAATCACTTTCATTCCACTTTGATCTGCGACAAACTGACGCGTTCATCTCTGTTACAGTGTTGCGTTAGACTGCTATATTTTTTTGTTCTTTATGCTGTAGATTTTCACGTCTCTGGAATAGTTGGCAGTAATAAGGATGAGTTCCTGTAAAATCATATTGATATGACCCGTGACATATTCGTAGATGACAGATTAGTTTGATGGGTTAACTCATAGAGCTGAAGATATCGTGGACATGCTGACCTCGCTGCGTGGTGTACAGGGCCGTTTACCCTCATGATTAATATTCACAATAAAAATATTAGCCGAACATCATGAAGTCTGTATGTGTTTCATAGTGTCGAACAACCTTTGTACAGTTAAAGCCAGCAGTTACTACATGACGGAAACACCAACGTTATCTCTTTTATGTGTTTATACACAGGTCACGCTGATTACTGAACAAAAACCCAAAGATCAGCTGTTAAACAGATTTATTTGCTCTCTCTCCTCCTTAAACATGTTTTTAATGTTAGTTATAATTCAGAATTAGCGACTGAAACACGTAGGACACATAAGAACATCAGGAAATAAAACACCGATAAATATAACCTCAGTAAATGAAGTCAGTGTCAGCGGGGGTTACTACAGCTGTGTACCGGGACCTGCGCTTTGTCGGTGGTAATGAAAGCTCGATTGCGAGGCGAGTGGGTCTATCCCACGCTTTGCCGTGAGACTGGGCAGACATCTCCGAAATCATCGAAACACTTTTGCAAAGAGGCTGTATCTTGACAAACCGACCAGACACATGAAGATTAAACCACTACATTCTCGGCTAAAAAAATATTAAAACGGTATTTGGTGACACACACACAGGGTTTTTCAAAGCTCAGTTCTGTTAGCTTCCACATGCCGGTTGTTGTGTGCTAGAAACAATGGCCACCAGGCCAAAGCAATGGTTTTGACTCGATCAGCGTTAACCCCGCCCCCTGAGTTTGATGGGTGAGGCTGACAGATAAAATGGCTGAGACCTGGTGAGACCTGAAGGAGTCAACTGTGCCAAAATGAATTAATTAAATACACCATTAAATAATTATTTAAATGTGACAATAATTAATTAAAATATGAAATAAACAAGTAATTAGTTAAATGTGTCAATAATTAATTAAATGTGTCAAAAACATTTTTAATTAATTATTTCCAATTTTAATTAATTATTGCCACATTTAATTATTTAATGGTGTATTTAATTAATTCATGATGGCAGTCCTGGCGTTCCATAGGGCACAGCCTAACACTTGAAAAAGGAAACGACCACTATGTAATCCATTTATTTTAACAAAGTAACTGCATTCTAATTATCACCTATTTAAATGGTAACTGTAACAGAATACAGTCAAAGGAGCTTGCAAAGAAAAGCGTCTGGACTTCTTTAAGTTGCTTGAAGACGTTTCACCTCTCATCCGAGAAGCCTCTTCAGTTCTAAGGTCAAATGGTGGAGAGTCCCAGATATAAACCTAGTGGGAGTGACCCCCCACAGAGGGACAAAAGGACCCCCTGATGATCCTCAAATCGCCTGAGCCAAGGTGGGAAACTGGGCGTGGGTCCCAATCAGCCAGAGTTTCGGGTGTGTTCATTGTGAAACCTGGCCCCACCTTATCATGTGATTTCCTGAGGTCAGATGGCCCAGGATGTGAGTGGGTGTTAAGGCGTCTGGGAAGGATCTCAAAACTGGATTATAGATGGCAGAGAGTTGGTGTCGTAAACCCCGCCTCTGTTCAAAGATGGTCGCTCACAGTGGACATAGATGGCTTCTTTCACTCCTCTTTCAAACCATCTGTCCTCTCTGTCCAAAATGTGAACATTGGCATCCTCGAAAGAGTGACCTTTGACCTTTAGATGCAGATGGACTGCTGAGTCTTGTCCTGTGGAGGTGGCTCTTCTGTGTTGTGCCATGCGCTTGTGAAGTCTTCAAGCAACTTAAAGAAGTCCAGACGCTTTTCTTTGCAAGCTCCTTTGACTACGATGACCTGGATGACTGAGAACCTTCACAGACGTAACAGAATACAGTTACTCATATTTTGTATTCCATTACTCCCCAACACTGTAGATGCCCCCCAACATGGAGACCGGCTCAATCAGAGACTTTACCTGAGACAGGTGAGCCCCGTTGGGTCACAAACTGCAGTTTAATGATCGTATGATCGGCTTGAGTATTTGGACTTGTCCCCGATTACCTCTGCATGGACGCCACTGCACGGTTCTCAGATTTGACACTTCTAGAGTCGACCCAACTCTGGCTGCAAGAATCTCTGGAAGGTTTCTTAATCACTGCAGATTATTCATCAAACCTTCAAATACAAAGTAAATAAGAGAGAATATCTCAAACTAATCTGGGTCAGAATTTCCTTCTGCTTTATACTCTACAATCATCCAGACATTAGGCTCTCAGAACTTTATTAATAATATATAACTATTAATATTTTAATAATAAATCAGATTTTTGCCTTTTATCTGTAGAAGTACTTAAACCTGAGCCAAGCGTCCCCCGTGTGTTCCGATTTTGTCCCGATTTTGATTGAATAAAGTTTCTTTCCCTTGTAATGAGCACACAGAGACATGCTGGAGTTTCTCCTTTTATTAAAACTTTAACACATTACAGAACGAGCAGTTTCAGACACAATGAACGAAGAACATCCGATGCAGTTCCAGTAACTGTTTCATTCAGGAGCATCAGAACAAGCTTTCCGAGGTCGAAACAGGATGAAACGAGGCCTTAACCGTGAACCACCCAAAACTACACTGTGCTCTTTGAAGGAGCAGTCTTCCAACCATCAGTTTCATCTGTAAGAGGCCGTTCAACAGGTGATGAGGGAACATTTCCTTTTAGTAATTTACGCTCTGCTTTACAACCATTTGTTTGAGACCCTAAATGGGATTACAGCCTCTCATCTGCAAGTTCTTAAACAGGTTAACCACAAATTTAGTACATTACAGTGAGTTAATCTGGGTTAGCTGGATCAAACATTGAGAACCAGTGAAAGGACCATGACTCAGATCTTCACCTTCACATTGACATATTTCCCAGACACTAAGAAACTTTTAACGATCTGGTTGCTAAATTAAGCCTCACCTCGTGTTCTGAGATGCCATATTCTCTGTAGGTTCAGGAAATTTGAGGTCCAGGTCACAGGTTCTTTTCTAGCATTTCCCAGCCACAGATTTATCTATTCTGAGACAGATGATTCAGTTCAGACCCGTTACACAGGGGAAGACATCCAGCAAGTCTGAGATCAACAACAGAAAGGTCACCTATAAAAAAAATAAAATAAATACACTGATGGCTTGAAAATTTAAGAAATGTCCCTGGGATGAACTGTCTGAACTTTGTTGGGCTTTTTTTGACTTCAGGAATCTTTTATTTCCCGAAAGGTTCTAGGCCAACATTTCCTGTGACAAGAAGCAGAAATGAGGTGAAACCAAACAGTCGGTCCAGATGAACTGTGAAAGGGTTCAAGGATTACAAAGTGTTCCAGGTTCACCTCAGAGTACGGAAATTCACAGGAGTCTTAGCAGACTCATCCAAATATTCATCATTGTCAGCTGCATCTCCACTTTCAACAGAGAGCACCTCAGACAGACACTCTGCTGCCTCAAAGGACAAGTTGTGTCATTACAATAAAAGACTGTGCTTGACTGAGCCTGGTTTATGTATTTCAAAGACTGGGTCAGGCTGAAAGTCTGCAATTGTGTTTTTATTATTTAGAGCCAGGTAGCAACAGGTACACGGTAACTAAAAACTAACAAATCACAACCAGACCGGGTGAGCGCTCTGATTTTATAAGGTTTCTCGTTCAGTAGATCGGATGGCAGCCATCTACATGAGCTCACTAGTCCTGTTAGGTGGAATCATTATTCATTTAATGCAACTCCAAAACGCAACACACCAGCGGTCCCAGCTGCCAAATATGATCAAAGAGAGGAGGTTTATTGTGTTATTTAAACAGAAATGGCATAAATCAAGCAGTTTACAGGTTTATTTGAGTATTTAAATTCTTCTTTTAGTCTATTGGAAACCTATGAAGTGTAAGCAAAAGCTGCAAAACTAGGAGACTGCTGGGTGAGGACAAATGTCCTGGACACGTTTCTATGAGATCAATCAGACCTAAAAACAAATTCTGGAGAAAACAGTGAAGAAAGGAATTCAATTAAACTCTAAATAAATCTGGTCCTTTAGACAGGTGTAGTCCCTCAGCAAGAGTGTCTATCTCGTCACTTTCACATGCCCTCCACTATGTGACACATTGTGGCTTCAGCCTTTCTGGATAGCCGAGCGGTTAGAATAAACCCCGCCCCCATGTCACAAAGCCCAGTCACCTCCTACTCAAAGTTAAAATCATATTCAAAGTCCAGTGAGGTCATGTCAGAGGGCAAGCCCAGTGTTTCTGCAGTTATCTTCATAATCTGAGGGTTCGCCTCACTGGACGCCTCAGCCTCTGGCTGCGACACAGAGCCAGGATCTACCATGTCCAAGTTCTTTGGGTTTGTAGTTGCAGCATCAGTGTCACCTGAAGCTGACTCGGGTTCTGGTTCAGGCTGGTTCTGGTTCAGCTGCTGTCGGGTTTGGTATCTTGTTTGGGATCGGGTTTGCCGGGTTGGCCGAGGAGCAGGCGGGGTTTTCTTACCCCTGGTTTTAGGACCCGTTTTTGGTTTGGGTTCAGGTTCTGTGTCAGAATGAGTCTCTGGATGGAATTCGTTGACCTTGCTTAATTCTGACTGTTGGGGCTCTATTTGACTTTCAGGACATGGTTTGAGCTGGGACTCCAGTCTGGAAGACTGACTCTCTGGGAAGATTTGGGGATCCAATTTGGCTGTCACAGACTGGTCTTCAGGTGCACTCTGAACCTCACACTGAAGCGGGGGAGACACTCTTGGTTGAGCCATTTGCGTGTTTCTTTCATTAGGTAGAGCCAACTCAGATGCGGAGTCTTTGGCAGACTGCAGGGACCAGACAGACATAATTTGAATGCCTGAGTTTGTTGGGGTCAGTGGGTTTTGTGGCTGCTCATTTGGATTTCGTTGTGGAGATCTTTGGAGTTCATTTGGAAGCGGGAACTGAGTAAGACCTTGTGCCTTGGGCTGTGGTTTGGACTGTGGCTGGGACCCAGGTTCAGGGTGCAGTTTGGGCTGTGGTTGGGACTGTGGCTGAGACTCAGGTTGGGGCTGTAATTCTGGGTGTGGTTTGGACTGTGGTTGGGGTGTTAGGGCTTTTGGAACTGGAAATGGACTTTTACTGCCACTACTGCCTTCAGCTCTAGTATCTGATGCTGGTTTGCTGAAGGAGGAGGGGCCCGTTTGGCTGATGCTGCTGTAGAAGATGCCAAATAAATCTTGGGCTCTGGCTGCAGCCAGGTTGCTCCTAAATTTGTCCGATTTCTGAGCTCCATCACACTTATTCATGAAAGGTGGAGGTTTGACAAACACCGTACGAGTCTGCTCACCCTCTGGGACACCAGGAGCTGCCACGTCAGACACAATCTTTATCATGGCTGGTTGTGCTGGAGTAGCTGTGGTAGCTAAAGAAGTTAAAGGTTTTGCCTGTACTGGGACCGACTTTAAGTCGACTGGGACAGGTTTAGAAACTGGTGGAGCAGGGTTAACTTTAGAAGGTGTAGGAGTTGTGACACCTGCAGGGGCAGGATTTGGCTGGACTCGAGCAGGTTCAAAAACTGGTGGAGTAGTATTAAATTTAGAAGGTGTAGGAGTTGTGAGACCTGCAGGGGCAGGACTTGGCTGGACTCGGGCAGGTTCAAAAACTGGTGGAGTAGTATTAAATTTAGAAGGTGTAGGAGTTGTGAGACCTGCAGGGGCAGGATTTGGCTGGACTCGGGCAGGTTCAAAAACTGGTGGAGTAGTATTAAATTTAGAAGGTGTAGGAGTTGTGAGACCTGCAGGGGCAGGATTTGGCTGGACTCGGGCAGGTTCAAAAACTGGTGGAGTAGTATTAAATTTAGAATGTGTAGGAGTTGTAACACCAGCAGGGGCAGGATTTGGCTGGACTCGGGCAGGTTCAAAAACTGGCAGAGTAGATTTAACTTCAGCTGGTACAGGCACCACGGGTGGAGGTCTAACCTGAAACAAGGGAAGGACTGCCTCAAATGGCCCAAGTTTATCAACGTATGGGACCATTTTAGTCTGAAGCAGACCATTTCCGGAACTCACGGGAGGAGGCGGGAGTACTGCGCCCTCTGTTGGAAGAGACTCTACTAAAGTAGGGTTTTGGGGTTTAATGGACAGAAAGGTATTCAGAGATGCAGGTCTGCCCATCATGGTTGGCTTCCTCAGACCTAGAGCAGGTGTAGGGAGGTTGGGTCGGATCCGTCCCCGGTTGGACATCCAGGGAGCAGATACGCTTGGTTTGTTTCCCAGCTTCTCTGCGATCTCTTTGGCAACAGCTACTGACTTTGCAAAAGAGTCTTCCACCGAAGGGGACTTGGCAGCAGCTTCATCCTCTTTGATGAATTCTGCAGCAACTTTCTCTGCCTCCTTTGCAAGCACGTTCTCCTTCTTCTTCCAAATGAACTTTCCGAATGTGGTTGTTGCTGCTGTAGTTGGTTTGCCGGCCTCCAGGCTCTGCTTGCGGAGCTTGGCCCTCATGGCCGGACTGGGGCCACAAAGAATTTTGGGCGGTTCGTAGGGTTTTGGTAGTGGTTCGGGGTTGCTGACTGCCGGCTTCTCTGGCTCAAACGTTTTAAAACCTTCCCTCTCAGGTTTAGGTTTGCATTCGTCTCGCTCTTTCTCATATTTGGATCTGGCATCTGAATATTTGCCACCTTTAAATTTGTCCCCATCATCTTTTGAACCATATTTGGGACGGTCATTAGCATCGGTGCGGTAATGGTACCGATATTCCTCATCCCTGCTGTATCTGTGCCGGCTGTCCCTCTCGTCTTCCTCTCGGCTGTAATGGTACTTGTCATCCTTCTTGCTGTAGTTGTACTTTTCATCATTATTTTTCTTGCTGTAATAAGGCCACTCCTTTTCAGGGCTCTTGGCATTCTTAAAATCTTCCTTTTTGCTTGGCTTCAGCTTATCCTCGTCTTCCTCCTTTTTAATTTTGGACTTGTCCTCCTTTGAAGCATTCTCTTCTTTCTTTTTCTCCTTTTCCTTTTTCTCTTTTTTGTGTTTGGACTTTTCCTCTTTGCTGCCTTTCTCATCGTCATCATGTTTGCGTTTCTTTCCACTTGCCTCTAAGGCCAGTCCCGCCTGGCGGTCCAGGTTCCGCCTCTGCTCGTACAGTGGGTTCTCATACATTTGTTTCTGGTGAGGAAGAGTCAAGAATATATATTGAAGTCCACTTTGGTCACTTGACATATAAACATGTAATCTTACAATCTACACATCAGAATTGATCAAACCCCAGAAACACACTGCTCAAATAATTCAAAGCAACACTTTTTAGAGCATGGGGAAAATTCCAGGTGACAGGCAGTTACTCTAAGCTGGACATAGATGCCCCTCAGCCCAACAGCAGAACTGATGTCTGCTCCTTTGTACAGGATGAGAACTGAGGAGCATTTTTAGGTGCTGCAATGAAATTTCAGCATAATGAACAAGCCTTTTCGTTTTGACTGTTGACGTCTTTGAATTCAGTCATCTGTAAAGGTTCATAATTTTCTCTTCCATTAAACCATGTGGCTGTCCAGATTTCCAGGATGGGGAGGGATCCTCTGCGATCCGATGTGTGAAGTGTTGCTTTATTTATATCTATCCTTTATCTATATCAAATCAAGAAAAGGCAGGCCTGACAACCTTTAAAGGTTTAGGTGGCACAGATCTCTGTATATTTGGCAATGCTTAAGTCATTGAGTTCCAAACCTTATACTTCTCGTTGTGAGCGTGCGTGGTGACATGCTCTTCTGCACAGATGCCGTCGCCATAAAACTCTCTGCACAGCAGGCAGAAGAATCCTCTGACGGGTACCAGGAACTCCGAACCTGCAGCGCGACACACATGACATTTTCAACCCTCAAACGGAGGATAAATGAGCTACCAATCATGTTTACCTTATGGAAGTGTCCATTTCCAGTACCTGTCAAAAAAGGAGAAGGTTAAAGAGGCGGGGTGCTGACTTTTTTGGAAAACAGATGGTAAAGAGTTGAGTGGCTATTTAAGACCAGTGAAAGATGGAAAAATGCTGCAGCTCCTCAGCAATAACCGGGTGCCTGCAGGAGATGCAGTCAAGCTGTTTTTGGGGTGATACGAACACACCTGCACCAAGAACTTAGCGCACTTTACCAACTGTTGTTGCATTTTCAGCAGCTTTCAGAGCCATGTGAGGCATGAAAAGGAAACGAATCAGCACTGGAGGTGCGGACAGCAGTCTCCCCTATGCTTCGATGCGAATCACTTCATTATCACTGTTTTCATTAAGAGACAGAAATGGCAGCAGAGATCCACACTGAGCTCCACCTGGAACCAAAATATGGCTAACAAAATTCAGTGGTTCAAAAAACAGACTGTGATACGTCTGCAGGATCCTCTGAAGGTGCAGCACAAGTACCTTTAGCGGGTTTAGTCAGCTTCTCGTCTGGCAGCTGGTTCTTTTTGATTTTGCTCGGAGTGGAAGCCCAGGGTCGGTCATACGGGTCCAGAGTCTGAGGGACGGAGAAGAACATGAAATGTAACAGAGCAAACACGAGGAGCCCGCCGAGGTATGAATATCAACTGAATATCAAAGAGGGAGAATTTCAGACAATGTGGGCGATGATGCTTTAAAGTGAAAACCAACCTTTAGGTGCGTTTTGCTGTGCAAGTGTGTGAAAAAATCAAACATGGAACCACACGTAGCGTTACAGTTTTTGCACCAGTGGTTTCCAGCGTCATAGTATTCAAAGGGCTCGGGGGGCGGGGCTGGAGCTGCAGTGGCGTCGGGCAGCGTGTGCAGGGACGCCTTCGAAGGCGACAGAGTCACGGAAGTCTGCTAAACAAGAACAAAGAAAGAAAAATGATGGAGAGTCAAGATGGCGGGGAGAAGAGCGACAGCCTGCATTCAGAGCAAAAACAGGAGCTCCTTTTAAAGAGTTTCTTACCTTGTGTGACTCTGCATTGAAGATGTCAACGTGTATCCCTCAGACGGTTTTTATAGCGGCAGTAACTTCTTACGCAAAATTTCAACTTGAGCACAAACTTGCAGCGGTCACAATGAAACTCAACAGTCTAAATTCAGTCTATAACCCTCCGCTCAGCAGCGTTGTTTTCATGACTAGTTGCTCATTAACGCAATCAATAATCTGGATCTGACTCGTCCAGTATTAGGGCTGCTCAATTAATCGAATTTTAATCACGATTACGATCTGGGCTTTCAACGATCATTAAAAATGACTGAGCCGATTATTAGCCCCTCCCTCAAGCTTTACTCTCGCGCTGCTCCGTGTGGCAAATCGAGTGCACCTCTCTGCATTTCGAACACGTGTCACAACAATTAAGAGGACCCGAGGGAAGCTCGGAAAGCTAAGCAGAAGTTATTTGGAGAGGAGAGTGACTGCCGTTGGTTGAAAAGAGAGGTAAAAAAAAAAAAACTTCAGTGGTGTGGAAACATTATGGGTTGGCGGAGTCAGACGTGGATCAAGTAGACACAGTGTGTAAACTTTGCTACGGTGTCGTAGCTGCACCACAGAGCAACACTGCAAAGTTCACTAAACACAGATGTTTACATTTTTCATTTATTTCTTATATTGCAAACATTTGCACTGTTATCAGTATTTGCACACCATTTTATATTATTTTTTAAAGTCATTATTCAATACATTGTTATTGTTAACCCTTTAAAGCCGGTCAGAGCAGCAAGCTCCGTTTTGTGTAACTATTTTTAAATCCCTGTAGAACCTGAACCATGTAAGCTAGCGCAATAATTTTTTTTGCATATGAAACTTACATCTTATGCCATCAGCTTGTCCTCAGTCACGGTTTCCTTCCACATAAAGCTTTGCAAAAAATTGCATAAAAAGCTCTTGCAGGAACAAAAACAATATTCCAGAAACACGCTTTGCCGATCTGATCAGCTGTTCGTAACACTTCCCACATTGAAACAGACGTCAGCGCGAACTATCACATGTCCGCCATTTCCTGTCCAAAACCAGAAGTGACGCCATATTCGCGGAAAATGTAGTTTTTTACTTGTAGGCCTTAAAAGCCTATACTGGTGTTTTTATAAGTCATGTTTGACTTTTCTGAATAGTTTCTGGGATGCTTAGAACTCGAATTGCACTGCTGGAAATAGTTTATTTTGATGCACATGCTGTTTTCTTTGCAAATTTGCATCATAGGATTGTTTTTTGTTTTTCCTGCAGTATATAAAAATTGCTGTATCTCCAAAATAAAACTATGAAGACACTCAAAATAAATTTCCTGTTGTTGTAAACTATTTTTTGCAACTTTTTTGTATTTAAAGTTTTGAGGGACAAACCTCTTAAATTTCTCCAAGTAGAAATATGTAAAAAACAAAACAAAAACGATTTTCAATTTTTTTGTAGCTTATTGCACTTTTTTGCAATTAATGTAATTACTATGGACTTAATGCATACATATTATTAAAATATGGGCTATAACAGTTGTATTGATGTATAGCAACTTGAAATGCTCCCACAAATGGCACTACAGCATGTAAAAAAAATAATATAAGCTCTGGTGGACTTGGTTCTATGGTAGGACTTAAAGAGTTAAATAAATATCGTCAAATAATCGAGATCTCAATTTCAGTGAAAATAATCGTGATTACCATTTTTGCCATAATCGAGCAGCCCTATCCAGTATCCACGCCTTGGTAGCGTCACACCTTCCTGATGCTGAAACCCAGCGTGTAACGGCCAAACCAGCCGAGCAGCAGCTGTAAACGTGAGCCAGGAGCTGATTCATGTTGATTTCTCTCACTACCTAGCACCCGATCCACGTGTTTTAATAAACTGATTAGAATAAACTGACGTTTAACTACTCGAGGAGGGTTTCAAGGAAACACATAATTACTCACAGCAAACATTCAAATGTCTGTTTAACCCATCAGCAGCCCAGGACACCGCCACATTCTGTTGGGGTGCTGATGGAGGACTTTCGGCACATTGATGACCTGAGACCATGTGCAGATTCACACGTATGTGCTGCTTTTTTGCCTGACGTTGGATGTATCTGGACGAGGATGGGGCGCTCTTCAAACCAACAGCGCTGCGTAAGTGCACCAAATGATCAGCGAGCAGTTACTGATCATCATCGATTTGTATAACCTGGCTCACGGGGCTGTCACAACTTCAACAACCAATCACTGATGAGGCAAGCTGCACTGTCATAAATGCAAACGCTTCTGAAATGTACGCTGTGACCGTCCTAGAAACACGAAACATTTATCATCACAGTCGGCAACGACTACGACTCAGTGCGGCCTTCCCACTGTTGCCAAAGCGCTCGCTCGTAGGCGGTCGGTCACAGGACTGTTGGGTTTTCTCTGTATGTGTTATCGTAGGGTCTACCTTACAGTATAAAGCGCTTTGAGGTGACTGTTGTAATTTGGCGCTGTGTAAATAAAACTGAATTGAATCACCTCAAAGAGAGAAACTCCACCTCCAACTACTCCAAACTGGTGGAGCTTCGCCATGCACAGGTATAAATGTTGGTGGCCATGACAGTCCAGTCTGACAACATGTGATGTCACAACAAACACACAGAATGAGAGTAGAGCCCATTAAAGCCGGACACAAGCACACGTGAATCCTCCTAAACTGTCTGTGAACATGTTTGCAGAGGTACGTTAGCTTGCTAATATGGGCTCAAATTGTGGTCATAAAAGTTTTGTGCTTGTAAATCAGGATTTGTATGTGTTAAAAGATTTGTGTGTGGACTTAGCCAAAAAATACACTTAAACTCTGCACTCAAGTTTCAAGTTACAAGTACGAATTTTGACCCTATTTTTCTTCTTTTCATCTCACTGGCCAATGTCATGTCAATCACAAATTTAACAATCCAATCAGAGAACAGATGGGCTTGGGTTTGTGGAAATGACAGTCTTCACTAGTGGGGATAGTTACAAAGCTTTCTTCATTATGAATTAGCGATACATGTTTTTGTTGAACATTTGAAGATAAAAAAAAACAAACTCTTGTAGAGGACATAAAGTCAGAGACAGAAACGACAAGGAGCAGGTACATCTAGTGCAGGGAGAGCTGCTGCACACAGAATTCAGCAGCCAGCAACAGATTCTGGATCCTTGGCTTTTAGTTAGCATTAGCAGCACATGCTGCATCCAATGAGAGGACCTTTATGCTGCGCACTGTGACTCACAGCCATGGTCCCGGGTCAGCTATGACTTTGTGTTAAACTAATCCTAAAGTAATAATGCATTTCTAACCACTGAGATACCACAACTTTATCCTTTCAACAGCTGCTGAAAGTTAGGGGACCTAACTGCTATCAGATAGAGATAGAGAGATAGAGAGATAGAGAGAGAGAGATATAGAGAGATAGAGAGATCCTCCAGCTTCAAACTGTATTACCCTTCCAGGACCTGCAGTTAAAAAAAAAAAACCTCCGACAGCCCAAGCCCATCTGTTCTCTGATTGGATAGATAAATTTGTGATTGACATGACATTGACCAATCAGCTGAAAGGAAGAAAAATAGGGTCAAAATTCGTACTTGTAACTTGAAACTTGAGTGCAGAGTTTCACACTTAATTTTTGGCTAAGTCCACACACAAATCTTTTTACACATACAAAACTGATTTACAAGTACAAAATATTTATGACCACAATTTGAGCCCATATGCTAATCCTTTATGGAATTCAAATAATATTTTATTTTCTAGAAATACTTTTTTGACTTCCTGTTTCTATGTTTCACAGCTTGCTGAGCTGAACCGGTCCTCTAAACTACATCACTCGACCACAAAGAAATGTTTTCAAACCATCTTATTGTTACTACAGCTGCATTAAAACGCGCTCTCACTCTCAATGTAACGAAAACAAACAGTAGTAAAAGTACAAAGACATTTCTATGATGATGAATGGATTAAACTAATTTACATGAGACAGTAGTGAGGCTTTAGCTCCACCCAGCGATTATACAAATCCTTTACATGTCCGATAAACTTCTTGTTTGTTAGCACAGCTTTAAAAACATTTCATTTCTCTGAGCTATCTATTTCCAGTCTAACGCGACAAGATCGCAGAATCTTGTCATGAAACATTTAAACTTCTTATATTAAAATTTTTATATAAAACCATTAAAACAACTAATGTTCAGGGAAACTAGTTTCACTGCCGACGTGATGATGAGGCAGACAAAACTACAAGCACAAAGTAAAATCTTCCAAAATAAAAGCATTGAATTCAAAATAACAGCTCTAGAGGACAAAGTGGTCTGCAGGTGAACCTCACTGAGTGAATAAAGGAACATGTTCTCGGTGCTTCTCGACACATCTCGTCTGAGTAAACTCTGATCAATAACTGACCCTAGCTATGCTTTCTAACTCCGATATCACTTCCTGTTACCTCTTCTGCAGGTGAGTGTACCTTCATCATGGGGCCGCTGGCCGCCGGCTGGCCTTCTGGGCTCCTTTCCGCCTCACGTTTCTTCTTCTGTGGTGGAGTCTGCTGCTCAGCCTTCTGGACCTCAGGCGGTTTGCTGGTCCTGCGGGGTCGGTCCGACGGGTTCAAGCCAAGGATGAGTGCCACTTTCTCGATCTCGCTGCGTTTCTTCTCGGCAGCCTCGTGCTCCTTGCGGAGGTTGGAGATCTGGGCCATGACCTCCTCCTGCAGGTGGCTGATCTCCTGCAGCAGAGGGTCCTTGTGGCCATCCTTCTCCCGGCGCTTCTTCCTCAGCAGCTCGCCTGAAAAACATTGCAGGGCAAATGTCAAAACGCCATCAGTGACGTTCCATCGATCAGAAGGCGTCTCCTGCAGCTCCATGTTTTCATGTCACACCTAAAACAACAAACACCAAATGAAACTTTCTACAGTGGCAGGTTTCTGAAATGATCAGCTGTACACAGCTGTGCACATGTTGAATAAAAACAAATTTAAAAAAAGTCCCAGAGGTGATCCCTGAGGATCTCCAGTCTCATTTCAGCTGAGAAAAGTGTCTGATTTTATACTTCATTAATAAACTTAAAACCAACACCAGCTTTATAGGACATCCCACCACATGCTGGCTGGGATTGCTGCGTGGGCGGAGCATAAATCACCTGTAACACAGTAACACACCTTGCTGCTTCCTGAGTCTCTCCAGCTCCTTCATCAGATACTCCTTCTTCTTCATCCTGATCTCTCGCTCCTGCTTCAGCTTCTCTCTCTCTTCTAGAACCTGAACAAACCAACACAGTCACAGGTGTGAACATCCAATCAGCTGAATCTGAGTCAGAGGCTCCACCCAAATCTACATCTTTCCTTCTCGGAATGATCCACATCTCAGTTTTTCAGGTGGAGCCAAAGGATGTGGAGGCATAAACTTCCTTCTGACGTAAATGCAAAGACGTGGGAAGAAGCGATGGAGGCTGACCTTCTGTTTCTGGCTCTCGTTGTTCTGCTCCTCAGACACTCTCGCAGCTTTGGCGCTCCCCTTCTCTGCGTGTTGGGTGGAGCTCTTCACCAAACCTGAGGATGGACAGACACATTTATTTACACCGACTGACCCACAGCTGCTCATCCTGCTCTCGCTGGTCGATGAATCCAGTTTATTCTTCCAGCGCTCACCAGTTTTGTACACTGGATTCAACTGTGGCCAACCATGTGTTACACTGATTATGGAGGCGGGTAAAAATAGTAACAACACATTTTAAAACTACCTGAATGTTTATGACTGAATGACTCGTTTCTATGTGCAAACATTTGGGTAGTGCACATTTCAGCCTTCTCAACCTATTAAGTAACACAGCTAATAAAAATGGCTAAGTACTCTGAAGCAAACAAACTGTATATAAAAATGGAAGTAGCTTCTTAAAGCTGCATTGTTTTTAAGCAGGGGACAATCATTGGATAATGAACATTTAATCACAACTTGTTGACCAATGAGGATGCAGAGTCTCTGTGACAAATCAGTAACTGTTCAATAGTCAGCCGTGTCTCCTACATGCTGTTTTGCAGAGGTGGCAGGGGGAGAAGTGAGAGGACAAACACTACAGCAACCTACACGCAAGGATCCACAAGAGGAAGGGGCAGGGCCGCCTGGTTAGCGGTGAGGAAAACATCCCGCAAATAATCGTCACGCTCAGACTAAATGTGATAAGAGTTCTTTAAAAGGAGACTGACCTTTGACCCCTGGCTCAGGGGTATAATCCTGTTTGTAGGGTAGTGTGGGAGGGTACTCCTCAGCAAGTGTAGGAGGAGGCATCCTCATGTTTGGGGGTGGATATGTGGGGGGCCACTGCTGGGGTACGAAGGGCAAGTAATTCCCATACTGACTGTACACAGGTGGCGGGTAGCTGGGGTGCATCATGGCGGGGACCTGCGAAGGGGGGTAGGTGGGGATGGGTACACCTGGATGAGGGGGGTGGCAGCTTGGCTCTGGAGTCTGACAGGGCGGCGCTGCCGTGTTGCTCCACTCGCCTTTCTCCTCTTTAATGTCACGGTCTTGGTGAGATTTGAGCGAAGCTGAGCTCTTCCTGCGGTCATCCTCGTCGCTGCTCCAGCCGGCGCCAGTGGCACCGCGTCCGTGGCTCCGGCTCCGGCTGGTGCTGCTAGAGCTGCCACTGTGGCTTCGTGACCTACGGCCCTGCCGGCTGCCATCAGAGCTGTCGGAGGAGTACCGTCTGCGCCGCGTGGGCGTCTTTGTAGGGGGTTTCTTCCCGTGGAGACGCTCTTTGGTCCTGGCGGCCATCTTGGTAATTTCGGCCACTCCAAGGTCCAGACCGATGGTTTTAAGCAGATCCTGGATCTTCTCGTACTCTTCTAGTGCCTGGCGCTCGCTCTCCTCCAGGGGCTCGTTCCCCGGTGGGTGAGCGGGGTTCGACACCTGGGCTGTGGTGTTGTGGTCGGAGCTGATGGCGGGCCGGCTCACATAACTGTCCGTGGAGTGAGGGGGCTGAAGGGTACATCCGTGTGTCTGAGCAGAGACCAGTTTCTGCTGTGGGTAGTCTCCATACAGCGCCTCCTCAGTTACGTCTCCATACAAGTCTAGACTGTGGGTCAAGACTGGCTCTGGCCCCGGCGGTGGTTTGGGTTCCTCCAAATCGCCATAGAGGAATCTCTCCTCGTCGTCAATGTCGTCCAGCACCTTCTCCTGAGTCCTGGGCCCCGGCGTTGTCATCCCCAGCAGGCTGAGGATTTCTTTGATCTCAGCGTCGAGGCCAGCACGGCGAGCCATCTGTGGATCAGACCGCAGCTCCGCAAGCATGGATGCCACCATGCGAGGGTCAGCGCCTTTGACGGCCTGCAGGAGCTGATCGGCCAGTCGGGACATGGAGCCATCCTGAGTTTGAGGAGAGTCCGTGCTCTGTAACAGAAATACTATGATGGTCATTTTGAGGAACTCCGCCGTGGTCATCTCTGCTTTTTGGCTAACAGAAGCATGTATCGAAACACTGACTGAAACACTGTCTGCAAACTTACCCTGACGGATGGCGAGTCCTCGGAGCTGCGTTTCTTCAGGATGGACTTTGTTGGTAACGTGAGCAGCTCCTCAAGTTCCTTCCTGCGGCGAGCCATTTCTAGCTCCTTAAACCCTTTATTCAAATCTGTGGCACCACTTCTGCTGCGGCTGCTTGAGCTGCTGCTTGCACTGCGACTGCGGCTCCTCTGACGGCTCTTACTGCGAGCATAGCTCGTCCCTTTGCTGTAGCTTCGTCCTCGACTCCTTCCTCTGGATCGAGACCTGGATCTGGACCTAGATTTAGACCTGCTCCGGGGGCGACTCTTGCTGCGGCCCCGACTCTTGGCTCTGCTCCGGTCTGGACTGCGGCTCTGGCTCTTGGCCCTGCTCTTGGCCCTGCTCCGGTCCGGACTGCGGCTTCGGCCCCGGCTCTTGGCCCGGCTCCGTTTCGGACTGCGACTCTGGCTACGGGGACGGCTCTTGCTCCTTCCAAGACTCCTGGCCCGACTCCGGTTGGGACTACGGCTGCGAGGTTTGCTCCGGCCCCGACTTTGCTCGTACTCCCGTCTACATGGAGACAAAAACATGAAGTAGCTAAACCTCACTGGCAGGGTTTTAATAGTTTTGCAATTTTCATTAGTTTTTATTTTTATTTAGTTTTGACTTCAGATTTTCAATTTTATATCAGTTTTAATTAGTTTTTACCAATTGTTTGCTAGTTTAGTTTAGTTTTTTTTGAAAATCCTTAGTTTCAGTTATAGTTTTAGTTGTTTGCAATAATTAAGTGCAACAAAATCCCAGTTTCATCATATCAGTCATGCTCTTCTGCTTATCCTTGGGTATGTTGCTATTCCAGCTACCATACCCTGCACCCTGCACAGGTCGCCTGTCTGTCGCAGGGCTAACACGCAGAGACAGACAACTCACATTCCCACCTATGGGTTCTTTAAATAAATAAATAAATGAATAAAGGCAGATGAACAACCATTGATACCAGGCAACTATAACATTTATATCTTGGCCCCAATGAGACTATTAACTCTTGCAGCACCGGGTGTTCGTAATTTTGGTTCAAGTGAATTGATAAACCTTTTGAAGGCAATTGACTCACACAGTTATGCAGATATCCCCGTTCTGTTGTCTCGGGATGCATCACGCTGCCTTGCCTGGGGTTAGCTTCTGTTTTCTGGGGATGAGGTTTGAGTGCGCTCCCTTACCTTCTCAAGGTAAGCTAGGTTAGCCTTCTTGTGTGAGCTTTTCAAGCGCACTTTAAGGTTTGTGGGATTTTTTTCCCCTTTAGAAATGTCCCTCATAATTTGTCTCTTTCCACTACAAGACACTTGCTTTATCCAAAACACAGTCATATTCAAAGTAATCCCAAATTGGACTCTGGCGCTTTCTCCCGACTTTTCCTGACATGATTCTGCGCGTGGACGGAGCAGCGACACAAACAACTCGACTAACGTACTGCTACCTGCTGGCATAATGAGACACAGCAAGAAAAAAATCTGGAAACTAAACTTCATTTTCACCCTTGACTATTGTATGACACACACACATCTACGAAAACTAAACACATTTTTGCTATAAATTCAGTTAATTTTAGTTAGTTTTCCTTTTTTTGTTTTTAATTTTTATTTCCGTTAACAAAAATGTTTTTTCACTTCTAGTTTTCGTTATTTCGTTAGTTTTCGTTAACGATAATAACCTTGCTCACTGGTTGTGCAGATAACACATTTTTACCATTCACTGACACATAATTGCCAGAAACCTCAACGCACAGGCCGAGGGGGCGGTGTGGCAGCAAGTTTTCACACCAGCCTAGTAATCAACCAAAGACCCAGACAGACTTTTAATTCCTTTGAAAGCCTGATGCTTAGCCTCGTCCACCCCAGCTGTAAAACTCAGAAACCAGTCTTACTTGTTATCATCTATCGTCCACCTGGGCCTTACAGAGTTTCTGTCTGATTTCTCAGACTTTTTATCTGATTTAGTTCTGAGCTCAGATAAAATAATTATTGTGGGTGATTTTAACATCCACGTAGATGCTAAAAATGACAGCCTCAACATGGCATTTAATCTGTTATTAGACTCAATTGGCTTCTCTCAAAATGTAAAATGACAAATGATCTTCTTATGGCCTCTGACAGTGGACTCATCTCTGTGCTTGTCCTGCTAGACCTCAGTGCAGCGTTCAATACTGTCGACCATAATATCCTATTAGAGCGATTAGAACATGCTGTAGGTATTACAGGTACTGTGCTGCAGTGGTTTGTATCATATCTATCTAATAGACTCCAGTTTGTGCATGTAAATGGAGAGTCCTCTTCACACACTGAGGTTAATTATGGAGTTCCACAGGGTTCAGTGCTAGGACCAGTTCTGTTTACATTATACAGTGGGGCAAAAAAGTATTTAGTCAGCCACCGATTGTGCAAGTTCCCCCACCTAAAATGATGACAGAGGTCAGTAATTTGCACCAGAGGTACACTTCAACTGTGAGAGACAGAATGTGAAAAAAAAAAATTCATGAATCCACATGGTATCAGACAATCACACCACCACACAGTACTGACCCACACATATGGTTCTTACACACACACTGGACTTTCTGGACTTTGGTTTTGCACAACACTGGTCACTATATTCTTCATTTCCGGTTAATACTTGTACAGCTGCTGTTATTGTGTATATATTTATTTATATTTAGATTTCTTCATACATTCTTATATAGTTCTATATTGTGTATTGTGTATTTTGTTGTACAGTTATTTTATTTTCAACTTTAATTTATATATTTATCTTTCTTATTCTTCCCAGTTAAATTTACCCTTCATTCTAATTTGTGTTGTACAGTTATTTCATTTTTAACCTTAATTTATATTTTATTCCTTCCTAGTTAAATTTACCCTTTTTAATTTTTCATATTTATTTCCTTTCTTATTCATAGCCTTTTCCTTTTTTGTTTTCTTTAGGTCACGAGCAGTTGTCCAAGCATTTCACTACATATCGTACTGTGTATGACTGTGTACCTGACAAATAAAATTTGAATTTGAATTTGGTAGGATTTGTAAAGAATTTATTGGTAAATTAGGGTGGAAAATAAGTATTTGGTCAATAACAAAAATACAACTCAATACTTTGTAACATAACCTTTGTTGGCAATAACAGAGGTCAAACGTTTACTATAGGTCTTTACCAGGTTTGCACACACAGTAGCTGGTATTTTGGCCCATTCCTCCATGCAGATCTTCTCGAGAGCAGTGATGTTTTGGGGCTGTCGCCGAGCAACACGGACTTTCAACTCCCGCCACAGATTTTCTATGGGGTTGAGGTCTGGAGACTGGCTAGGCCACTCCAGGACTTTCAAATGCTTCTTACGGAGCCACTCCTTTGTTGCCCCGGCGGTGTGTTTTGGATCATTGTCATGTTGGAAGACCCAGCCTCGTTTCATCTTCAAAGTTCTCACTGATGGAAGGAGGTTTTGGCTCAAAATCTCACGATACATGGCCCCATTCATTCTGTCCTTAACACGGATCAGTCGTCCTGTCCCCTTGGCAGAAAAACAGCCCCATAGCATGATGTTTCCACCCCCATGCTTCACAGTAGGTATGGTGTTCTTGGGATGCAACTCAGTATTCTTCTTCCTCCAAACACGACGAGTTGAGTTTATACCAAAAAGTTCTACTTTGGTTTCATCTGACCACATGACATTCTCCCAATCCTCTGCTGTATCATCCATGTGCTCTCTGGCAAACTTCAGACGGGCCTGGACATGCACTGGCTTCAGCAGCGGTACACGTCTGGCACTGCGGGATTTGATTCCCTGCCGTTGTAGTGTGTTACTGATGGTGACCTTTGTTACTTTGGTCCCAGCTCTCTGCAGGTCATTCACCAGGCCCCCCCGTGTGGTTCTGGGATCTTTGCTCACCGTTCTCATGATCATTTTGACCCCACGGGATGAGATCTTGCGTGGAGCCCCAGATCGAGGGAGATTATCAGTGGTCTTGTATGTCTTCCATTTTCTGATGATTGCTCCCACAGTTGATTTTTTCACACCACGCTGCTTGCCTATTGTAGATTCACTCTTCCCAGTCTGGTGCAGGTCTACAATACTTTTCCTGGTGTCCTTCGAAAGCTCTTTGGTCTTGGCCATGGCGGAGTTTGGAGTCTGACTGTTTGAGGCTGTGGACAGGTGTCTTTTATACAGATGATGAGTTCAAACAGGTGCCATTCATACAGGTAATGAGTGGGGGACAGAAAAGCTTCTTACAGAAGACGTTACAGGTCTGTGAGAGCCAGAGATTTTCCTTGTTTGAGGTGACCAAATACTTATTTTCCACCCTAATTTACCAATAAATTCTTTACAAATCCTACCATGTGAATTCATGGATTTTTTTTTCACATTCTGTCTCTCACAGTTGAAGTGTACCTCTGGTGCAAATTACTGACCTCTGTCATCATTTTAAGTGGGGGAACTTGCACAATCGGTGGCTGACTAAATACTTTTTTGCCCCACTGTACATGCTTCCCTTAGGCAGCATCATTAGAAGACATAGCATACATTTACACTGCTATGCAGATGACACCCAGCTCTATCTGTCCATGAAGCCAGATAACACACACCAATGAGTTAAACTGCAGGAATGTCTTAAAGACATAAAGACCTGGATGGCCGCTAACTTTCTGCTTCTTAATTCAGATCAAACTGAGGTTATTGTACTCGGCCCTGAAAAGCTTACAAATATGGTATCTAAGCAGATTCTTACTCTGGATGGCATTACCTTGGCCTCCAGTAACGCTGTGAGGAACCTTGGAGTCATGTTTGACCAGGACATGTCCTTCAACGCACATATTAAACAAATATATCAGACTGCTTTCTTCCATTTGTGCAACATCTCTAAAGTTAGAAATATCCTGTCTCAGAGTGACGCTGAAAAACTAGTTCATGCATTTATTACTTCCAGGCTGGACGACTGTAATTCATTATTATCAGGAAGTCCAAAAAACTCCCTGAAAAGCCTTCAGCTGATCCAAAATGCTGCAGCAAGAGTCCTGACAGGGACTAGAAAGAGAGCAGATTTCTCCTGTTTTGGCTTCCTGTTAAATCCAGAATTCAAAATCCTGCTCCTCACATACAAGGTCTTAAATAATCAGGCCCCATCTTATCTTAATGACCTTGTAGTACCATATCACCCTATTAGAGCACTTTGCTCTCACACTGCAGGCTTAGGGTAACTATGTGAGACTGCTGTTTGTTGATTACAGTTCAGCGTTTAACACAATAGTGCCCTGCAGACTGTTCACAAAGCTGAGGGATCTGGGACTCAACAGCCGTCTGTGTGCATGGGTGTTGGACTTCCTCACTGGCAGAACTCAGGTGGTGAGGGTAGGTAGATGCGTGTCCAACAGCATCACCATCAACACAGGAGCACCTCAGGGATGTGTCCTCTCGCCACTGCTCTACTCCCTCTACACTTCGGACTGTGTGGCCACCCATGGCTCCAACACCATTGTGAAGTTTGCTAACAACACAGTGGTGTTGGGTGCCATCTCCAACAACGATGAGACGGCCGACATGGACGAAGTGAAGAATCTGGCATCATGGTGCCGGGACAACCACCTCCACCTGAACGTCAGCAAGACCAAGGAGCTGGTGGTGGACTTCAGAAGGGGTCAGCACAGAGACTACAAGCCCATTATCATCAATGGAGCTCCAGTGGAGAGGGTGCAGTCCTTCAAGTATCTTGGTGTCCACATCTCCTCAGACCTGACATGGGCTGCCCACATTCAGGTCCAGACCAAAAAGGCTTTTTTGGTCTGGACCAAAAAATTCAAATTCCTTTAATTTTAAATGTTTATATTGTCTATTCTGTAAAATAGATGTCTATTCTTATTAATGTACAGAATTCACCTGCTTGCTGCCACTACTGCACATTCACCCCAATGTGTGTGTGTGTGTGTGTATATATATATATATATATATATATATATATATTTTTTTTTTTTTTTTTTTTTTTTACTCTCTCCCCCCCCCAATTTTTGCACATGTCGAGGAGCATGTCAGGTTACATTTCACTGTGTGTTATACTTGTATAACTATGCACGTGACAAATAAAGAACCTTGAACCTTACTTGTTGTTCCTAGAATATTTATATCAGATGACTTAGATGAGATGTTTCAATGTGAACATCTTTTAATGGTGAAATCATTTCCTTTTCACAAGTAACAAAGGACCACATTTGCTGTTTCTTTATCCAGCTGTATTGCCTTCAACCATCACAATAAACACAAAATCTGCCTAATGATCACCTTTCGAGATGGCATAAGGAGGCGGAGCCAGAAGGTCCATTCAGCTCGTTGCCAACGGTGATGACGAGGTTGTGGTCCAGGGGAATCGGGCCACGTGGAGACAAAGACCTCTGTACGAGAAACACAAAAATTCAGCACTAAATCTCTCAGAGTAGAATACCGACAGGACAGCCCAGCGCCTGTGGCACGTAATGGAAAAAACGAACCTTTTCACCATCGGCGTGTGTGACCTGATGGAGATGTTTTATGGCAGCTTTGTGTTTTGTTTGGGGTTTTTTCAGGTTTCTAAGATTCTGATTACTCTACAGCATAGGTGTCAAATTTGGCCCGCAGCCTAATTACATTTGGCCCGCGAAGCCATACCAAATTACTATTAAAGCTGGCCTACTGGTATTATACAGCTAATATATATATATATTGTTTAGTATTAAGCTTTGCTTGTTTCATATTCAGTTTTTCAGCAAAACGTGTTTGAGTCCATAAGAAAAGATTCATTCTTATATCTGGAGGAATAAATATATTTCAATAAATATTAATGTTAGCCCGCGACTTTGTTCCAGTTTTGAATTTTGGCCCACTGTGTGTTTGAGTTTGACACCCCTGCTCTACAGTTTCTAACCTGAGCGTTCCTGAGCTTACAGCGCCAAGTGTGGTGGGAGCAGAGCTGGATTCAGCCAAAGTCCTTCCTGAAGTATCTCCAGGCACTTATTCTGAAGAACTATAATCAACTAGAATTTTACAGGTCACTGGGACATAAACTTCACGGCTGAAACAGCACTTAAACCAAAGTAAGATTTTACAAAGCTCCTTGTCTTGCAAGCTAAACGTCTACCAACATCATTATTACCAACAAACATCCCAACAGTCCTGCTGTTTAGCATACGTGCTCCAGGTGCCCTTTCTTCTGCTCACCTTCAAGGCCCTTCATAACCTGGCTCCTCCTGATCTCTCTGACCGAGTCGTCGGGCAGACACGTTAAACAATAAAACTAAATAATAAACGCGGTACATAAACGCTAATCTCGCGATAAATTGGTCGTTTTTTAAAAGGGGTTTGGTCTAAATCTGATTCCAAACACACTCTTTATAAATGAGAAACAGATATTTTCCCTCTCAGCCGTATCCGTCCCCGCAGACCACCCAAACCGGTGTGTGTGCGGTAACCTGCCGGCTGTCCGGTGTGTTCGGCCCGTTCGGACCTCGGCTCTCTCACCTCTCTCGGCGGACCTCCGGTCCATAACTCCCCGCCGCGGTTGCTGTCTGAGCCCGGGGAAGGGTACCTCCTGCGCGGCGGGGAGCGGCGGTAGGGATCCGGGGGTCCGTGGTCGTGGTAGCCAGAGTGATACGGAGGTCTGGGCCGGCTCCGGTCGTCCCTGTAGCCCGGGGCCGGGTAGGGCCTCGGCGGAGGCGGACCCCGGCCTTCAAAGGGAGGCGGGTAGCCCCCTCTCGGAGGAGGCCGACCGCGGTACATCTCCTTCCGCGGAGGTCCTGCGGCTCCTCGCGGGCACGCTGCGGGAGAGCTGCGGAGGTCACTGAACGAGGAGGACCGAAGTGCAGAGCTCCGCGGATAGATTGCAGCTTTTTCTGCGGATATTCCAATACAAACGGAACTCAGAGCTTTAGCTATGAGCAACACAACGGCCTCCCGCTGCTTCTTCCTCTGCTGCTGCTGCTCACCGACATAAACAGCGCGCAGCGAGCTGCTGCCACCCGCAGGCAGAAACCTGTACTGCACATTAACAGCAGCGCTCTCCTCGGCATCAGTTCTTCAACTCATCTTCCTCTGGGCCTTATTCTCACAGTTTTCATCACAACAGCAGTACAATAAAATATTATATATATCATATCCATCCATGTATTATTTTGTGCTTATCCAACTCAGGGTTTGGGAGGCTGGGAAGGGTAAACCCTGCCTGCATGTTTCTTTACATCTGTCGTGCACTCTAGAGGTTTCCTGGGTATGCAAATTCTTATACATGAGCCATTTTCACAGAAGCCAATTGGTATGCAAACTGATAGATCAAACACTTGCGTCCATGTTGATAGTATACTTGCACATAAACCACTACATTGGACATTGATGTGTCACTCCATACCCCGCCACCCACTGGTCAGCCAGTGGACATTTGTAAGTGGACATGTAACAAAAAACAAAACTCTTTTAAAAGCATGTTTAAAAAATGAAGTTAAAAAATATTTTTTCTTGCCTGAAGATGAATAAAAATACTTAAGAAAACAATCCTGATTGAGGTTGTCATAATTCATGCATGAAAGAGTTAAATACCCCCCTCCCCAAACTGAGACGCCTACAGATGCATCTGTGACAACAAACTTATGACAGCTCTTTGGTTTGCACTTGCACAGACTGTGTGACGTTTATGAAATGCATTGTTCACAAAAGTAACATCATCACACTTTTTTTAAAAGAGTCAGAATCTTTATTGTCATTGTGCTTTAAGAACAACAGAAACTGTATCCAAACAAATTCAGTGCAAGTGGCAAGAGAAAAAAAGTATAATAAATAAATAAATAATATAGTATATAGAAGACTGTATATGAGAATGGACAAGGGAAAATATGGTTATTGCACAGTGATTTAATCCTTAGAAAAATATTGTAGAGTTAAGAGTTCGCATTTTCACAGTGGTTTATCCCCGAGTATATTTATTAATGCAACAGCCGGTTTTGGCTTGAAGTGTCCTGCACCGGCTGCCTGAGGGTAACAGCTGGAACAGGTGATGTGCACATTGCCTGCATGTTAAAACATCAGGGCATGCTTTCACATACGAACTTCTCCCTCCTCGTGGTACCCCTGAGTTTTGTTTTAAGTTTGTTTTCCTTTAAAGCATGGCACATCTCTCTGCTTTCATCAACCTAAAATGCTCCTCCCAAAGATCCCACCTCATGCCTCTGAATACCAGCTGCTGTTCAGCTTTAAATCTCAGAATAGTTTGGCACTCATCATGTTCCAGTTTTCTAAGAAAAAATTAGGAAATGTGTGAACTAACAGCTGATTCGAGTCTGTCAGTGTGTCCGCATTTCTCAAATTTCTCATGTTTTTGAAGCTACGGCTGAAGTCTGTTTCAACAAATCAAACCGACTCCACACTGGATAAATAAGAAACTGTACAAAGTACTAGTGCAAATAATTAATACAAACTATTATGCAAATTATGATTGGGAAACAGAGCAGGGCACTGGCTTATGACCCAAATGATCTAACAGTGGGTTGTTTCACTGTGTTCATCAGAATGAAAGCCTGGGGGACGAAGCGTCTCTCTGGCAGCTGGTTTTTCATCACAGAGCCAGTTTATTTACTAGTTTGAAACCTGAAAATATAACAGCAACACTTTCCCCTGTAGGTCTGCGAGAGACGTCCTGAGAGTTACGTCTGACTTGTTGGAAATTACTAAGCACATTTGCAGGAAATTAGCTGGAAAATTAGCAGTGGTGGGATTTTGAAAGGTTTTCAGGGGAAACAATGGAAGCAGCAAACTTTCAGCTCATCTTCTCAGGCTGCAGACATCTGTCTGCTTAAGCTTCTGTTTGATGAAATATTCAAACTTATGTTGAATTTCATGAAGGCTCATCTGATCAGCTGTTTCTATTGGATGCTCTGATGCATACTGACTCAGCAAGTAGTTTTCGCTCACCTGATCCATCACAGGTACACAGCAAAAACTAACACTGGAGAGTGTCTATATGGGTCCACACCTCTGAGTGTTAAATTAACACTTTTGACAGTGTTATATGTTTAAAAGTAACCTAGTCAGTTTTGAAGATTAACAAAGACTAACACTGAGCAGTGCTGATTTTCTAACACTGGAAAATAACTCAAAATGTTAGAAATATTCCAGCGCCTGTGGCACGTGTGTGTGTGTGTGTGTGTGTGTGTGTGTGTGTGTATGTATGTATGTATGTATGTATGTATGTATGTATGTATGTATATATATGTATATATATATATATATATATGAACGTCTACAGGAGGTGGAAGAAAGATTTCTGTGAGATTCTGAGTGTCCCCTCCTCTCCATTTCTATCCAGGTGAAGGCAGGAATCCCACCAGGAGAAACAGGAGAGGATGAGCGCAAGCGTCCAAAGTTTCTGCTCAGAACGGTTCACCTGCTGAGTCCTTGACTCACCTAGAGTGTCTTTATTGGCCGAAACCTGCAAAGAAACCAGAAACTCACCTGGTCAGCTCAGACAGGTACCACACGAGATGAAAGCTTGAGTGCAGAACAAACTGCATGTCTGTCACGTCTGAAATGTTACGACTCAAACATCAGAGCTCTAAACTCTGACCGGTGTCATCGATCCATCCCTTCACATTCACTCTGCGCACAGCGGGGACGAGTTTAACGACTGTCGTCTCAGATGTTAAGAAAAGGAGAGTTTGGATCTACTGCACTCAGTAGAGTCTTTCTAGTTTCAGGGATGAAGCTCTTCGTCTCTCCAGTTTCCTGACCTCACAGTATCATTCTTTTAACTCAGTCATTAACTTACAAACACAGAGACATCAGAAAGCTGCAAACCCACAACACACACAACCCCTAAGAACATCAAATCATTCTGAGCTTCATTTTTCTAACAAGGACTATTTGGGTATCAGTGACCTCTCAATGTGCATAAATATGTTTTTGGCTTTGTTCTCTTTCCTGAGCAGGTGATAAGAGACCATCTTCAGTTACAAACTGCTTAAATGGAACATTTAAAGACCAAACTCTCACTTTCCAACTCAACATATGAATAGATCAGAATGAGCAGGAAGCTGAAATGAAAGGATAGACGTGTGTTCATTAAATGAAAGCGATCACTTTTCAGAGCTTCAGTGGCTGCACAGGAAACACACACACATTAACCTACCTTACTGTTTTCACAGGTGTGTTATGTAGAATTCGACATCCACAGGAGATCCCTGCTCCTAAATGTTGCACAGCTTGCTCCACCAGCACTAACCAATAAATGATCATTACTTATGGTCACCTATCAATAAACATGCATCAGGAGCCCAGCAGCACCTTCAGAGGGTCACACTGCTCTGACCTATGACCTTTGAGCTTGAAATTCTCACAATGACATGAAAAAACCCTTTTTAAACAGATTTGATTGTTTTAAGGTCTGAGGTCGTCCCAGATGAAATGACCTTTTTTCAAAAAGCAAAACAAAACAACTAATTTCTGTTTAATTCACTGTCTGAAACCACAACCGTTCACACAGGAAGTCCCGCCCACAGTCACCTGATTCAGAGCAGCTTTGACCTTTAAACAAAGACATTGAAGAGAAAACAAAACAAAAACAGGTGAAAAAAAAGCTGTTTTACACTTGGAACAAAGCAGTAACTTATATGACAGATACACAGATACTCTGATTCAGGTTTCTTTAATGCTTCTCTGACTGAAACAATCAGCATCCTTTCATTTCTGTCTCAGTTATCAAAGACCAGATGTGAATGCCGGCCTTCATCTACATAATTATTAATAACAAAATGGTTCTTCTCCATCCTCCGCTCTGATAATATTGCGGATGAAGATGTCACCGAAGCTTCTGACAACTCCCACATATTCACAGATCATTGTTTTAGACGAGACATTTATCACAAAGACCAGACTGAATCAGTGTTTATTTCATTTTCAGAACACAAACACAAAGCAGTTTAAATCATGAACATGCTTTTTGCTTAAATCAAATGTAGGTTTAACAGCTCCATGCATGAGAAAAATGTCTCTGCATACCTGCTGCATAACATTAAGTCGTAATGGCTGAAAATGAGCTGACATTCATGAATACAGTGAATTATTATTACCATAAGATGTGAGATATGCTACACAGTAAGCTAAAACAGTTTCATTAGTCAGGAGGTGGTCTGTGCAGATACAGAGTTGGTGAAAAACTGCCTAGCTATCCTCAGAAATAAACCTAAAAAAAAAAGAAAGAAAGAAATGAATGTGAAACCTCTCAGCTCTTCTCAGAGGCGGCGTTCACCTCCATCTCCCACTTCTCCAGGAGGTCCTGCAGGTTCAAATTGAAAACATCGATGCCCTTTTGGGAAAGGTGTACACCATCGACCCGGTAAAGACCTGTGTTTGCGCCACAGCGGATGTTATCGTGGGTCAGAGAGGTGCCACCCAACTCTGAGATGATATTTTGGATCCGGCGATTTACCGTAGTGCGGACCAAATCGACCTCGTGGCTGTCCACTGAGTGGCGCCACACCCTTCGAGGGAGGATATTGGACCACACAAGGACGCACTGTGGGAAGATGCTCCTCATAGACGTCAAGTCCTTCTTGACGGAGGCTAGCAGGTCTGTGGGGCTGTCGGTGCTCAGGTCATTCCCCCCCAGGTGCAGGATAAGGACATCTGGGTTGGGCCAGGTGACCTTCAGCTGGTGGAGCTGCGGCAGCAGCTGAGACCATGTCATGCCCTGGGTGCCCTTCCACCAGACGGTCACCTTGCCAGGGTCCATGCCCAGCTGCATACCTACCTCCGGAGACTTGGCACGTGACTCGGCCCAATACACCAGTGAATGACCGACGATCCAAACGTTCCTGGGCTCACTGCTGACTTGTTTACCTGGAAATTTCAACAGGATATACTTGTAAGTGCCAGAGCCTTATGGAACATCTTCACAAGCTGAACCCACATCACATTTAGCATCAAATCCCAAAGCTAAGACTACTCCATCTTCAAGCTGGTTTCACAAAGTTCTTTTAGACCAAAGCATCAGGTCAACTT